AAAGAAAGGCAGACTGTGAGGTGTGGACAGATATCATGTACTGTTAGAACGAGAAGAGATGGCACCAATTTGTAAAGATTAATAAAGAATACAATGGACTTAATATAAACTTTATGATATAAACACTCTGACTACTTACAATAGGCACAATCTGCTTGAGAGTTGAGGCAATGGCCAATGACAGCAGTAGGAGTAAAAGTCGTAGAATTTTGTACGAGTATGCTTGTGCAATATCATATGAATTTGCAGACTTGGTAAATTGTATGAATTATTACTACTTCTACATGACACTTTTCTGGGGGTTCTTCCTGATGGGGCCGTGGGGTATGTAAAGCAAAGTTTAAGAAACATCAAATGCTGTGCAAAATGTCTCTGCAGTAAAGTTCAGTCAAAGTGCTCAGACCAACAAAGACGTACCATTGGAAGTGTTTGCCTTTGCAGCTTTTGGTCTTCTCATAAGTTGCATTTTGGTCTTCGCACAAAATGCTCAAATTCAAATCCCATTACAGTCCTTCCTTTGGTCTTCCCTTTCAGCTGAAATGAAGAGAAACATATACATGTTGAGACAGTGTGTTAAAAATGATCTGTGACCAAAATATTTGATTAACACATAATATAAGGATGCGTTCATTAAAGCAAATCAGTTATAACTAAATGTCTTCAACATTACCTGTGAAGGGTTGAACCTTTGAAGGACTTGTTCAGCCTCCCTGACAGCTTCTTCAAGATCAGCACTGGGAGAGTCGAGTTGAAGTTCCCTGTTAATTCTAGCAGAGAGAGAGAGAGAGAGAGAGCTAGACTTTTACAAGAGATGGCTTCTTTAAAGAGCTGCTGGAGTATGTGATCTGACGTAACTGCAAGACATAAAAAAAATATTGAATTACAATTACTTCACAAAAAGGTATTAAAAGCGCGGCAAGCATTGTGTTTACTGTGCTTTACAAATAGTATAGAGTAAAACACACGTTGCTTGCAGAAAGACAGCAAAACCACCATAAGCTGACTTGCTTAGCCGGGGCGAAATCATGACGTCATGATTTTAGTACTGAAGTTTCAGGGTTGCCAGGATATTTAAAAATGAAACGCCCAATTGCTACTAAAAACTACCGCTGGAAAACAGCGGACTTGGCAACACTGCGAAGTTGCGCAGGCGCTGTGAGGGGGAAACAGGGAAACTGAATTCACCGGAACACCGGGTTGGTTGATTTGTTGTGCTGTCATCAGCCATGTCTAAAAGCTGAAGACCCATGTCACATGATTAAAAACGGTTTTATTTATTTATTTATTTCAAAATGCAACAGGTCTATATACAGTAGACGTTAGCTTAGGCTGATGTCAATGGTAGGCTATCTTTAGCAGCTGTGCTAACTGAGCAGCCCACTGTTCCATAATTTGAACACATACGCTGCCATTTTAACACATGACCCCATGTAACCTGATGCAGAAACAGCAGAAACACTAAAATAATACCGTTAACCACGAGATCTCATTAAAAAAAAGATTGTTGCCTTTACCTGTTTTACCTGTTTAGCGCATCAGGTGAACTGGGCGAACTGAGCCTCGCTGTTGACGTCACTGCCGCTGAAGATGACGCATGGTATTTGGACGCATCTTCTTCTTCTTTAGTGTTTTTGGCGCATAACAATCTAAATGTATAGCGCCACCTACAGTACGTTGCTGTTGTGCAGTCATGTTATCTATTATCGTCAAAATGACTTATGAACATAACAAAAAAAGGGGGGGGCGATAAGAAAAAAAAAAAAATTTCTCCATAAATTTGAAACTCTTTTTGTTGTGATAGGAATTAAATATGTATAGCCACTAGATGGCGGTATGCGAATGTATGTAAATGTGAGAGACTGGAGTAGAAGGGAGGGAGTAAAAGACAAACTTACTGCAATGCTCTCCTGTCTGACTCTTTGTTTGATTGGCATCTGCTGCAACTAAACAATGGTTTCTACATGGTGTCAGAAGTGGTGACAATGGATCAAGTATTTTCTCTGACTGCTCCGGGGAACTTTTATTTTCATGAACTGAATTCATGGGCGCAATGGATAAGACGCTTCGAAAGGTTCAGACTGGCCTCGGGCCTCGCCGGCAAAGAAGAAGTTTACCAGGTAAACTCGTTACTTTATATTATGGGAGAGAAGAGTGACAATGTCCTGAACACTTTAGCCTTGTCGGAGCGGCAACAAAAAGAATATGAAACTGTAAAAGCGGCATTTGAGAGTCATTTT